AAAAAAAAAAAAAAAAAAAAAAAAAAAAAAAAAACACCCCATTCCTGCAAAGTACTTGGAAATAAGAAATCGACCTCTCCTATATGACTTGTTTTCAGTCACTCATCCAAAGAAAAACAAAAAAAGACAACGGCTACAGGCCAGGCCTTAGCTGGGATGGGAGACAGCTCTTCCCTGCACACGCTGCGACTCTCGCGGAGGCCGTAAGAGAGTGTGTTTTTTGAAGGGTGTGTAACAGCAGCACATGCCAGGCACAGGGGAAGCACGGGGCCCCAGGCTCAGACTGCAGAGTTGGCAAAGGCTTCTTAGAGGAGACGGCTTTTCAAGCTTGTGTGGGAACCACCAAGACAGAGGGAGGGCAGACAGAACACAGAGGAACCTAGAGAAAATAAAGAACAGTGAAGCACTATGACGTTTGCAGACCAGCAAACCCCGCCACCAAATGTTCCCCCGGGAATCTGGCCATCTCTCCTGCACCCCTCCCACCTCCCCACTGCGACAAACCAGTGACCAACAGGATGATAAGAACACAGTCAGCCCAGCTGAGATTTTCACCACGGCGGTAAACTGAGCACACATATTTGTGGCCCTTCCTACTAAAAAAAAAAATGAATCAACAGTTTTAAAGTACCACGTGGAGTCAATGAAGACAAAACGAAAATTATGAGAACTTGCAGGATGACATCAGCAGACTCGAGATTTTTTAAATTTCCGGAAGTCCCCATGAATAGCTCAGCACATAAGAGGAGGGAGCATGGCTGTGAAGTCAGGCTGCCTGGGTTAGGACCCGGCTCTGCCGCTCACAAGCTGTGCGACTTCAGACAACCTGCCTCACCTTTCTCTGTCTCAGTTTCCTCATCCGTACAATGGGAATAATAGTAAGGCCGACTTGCCAGGATTTTCATGCGGATTAAATACAATGCTTCAACTAAACAGCTTTGAATAGTATCTGCTACATTGTAAGTGCTGGATCCATATTTTCTATTATTGTTTTTACATTAGCGGACAAGTCACAACGGAGCAAGCTACTACTCGGAAAATGCTGGAGAAAGCTGCAGTGCAGAGGAGCTGTGCTAGCCCGACCAGGCCTCCCGGATCTGAAGGGACAACTGTAGGTCAGCAGACACTTAAGAAACAGCAGTCATACAAATGACAAGAACCACGGGAGAGAAACAGGACCACTGCACTGCAGGAAACACAGCTAACCGAGGGAAGAGGAGAACATTCAAATCATGCCGGCAGTGGCCTCAAAGACTCAAGAGGAGATCAACTCTGACAGACACGTAGGAAAACCATAATAGACTTTTATAAAAGCAGGTAGGTAAACAATTTTTTAAAGATTATGGAAATTAAAGAATAAATAAAAGTATGTGAAATAAAAGTAAAGGAAATGCTCCAAAGGAAAGAAGAGAACTAGAAAAATTTTAGAGTTTAGAATATCATTGCAAGGAAACGAACATCCAACAGGAATTAAAGAGAAAGAATACAACAGTGGTGGGAAGCAATAATAAAAGTAATAGTTGTAAAAAAGATATGCATCTTGAGATAAAATGGGTTCACCAATCACTGAATAAGATGAAAATTTAATTCAACGTAGAGATGAAGAACGTGAGATTAATTTCACAGAACAGAGCATAACTGCCATTAATCATCAACATTTGAAGTCACAAGGACAGAAGCTGGAAGATGGAGACAAGCCCAAAATTTCTTTCTTTACCGAGCAAGAGGACAAGGCATGTTTCTAAATTCATAGGTCAAAAATAAAGAGTTAAGTACTTATTGTATAACGTTATAAATATAGCTGATATATGAGCTTGAATTTTTAACGCATTCTGTAGGAAACTGTAAGGAGAAAGAATAGGAACTAAATTTCCCATCTGTTACAGCATGTAGCTGACGTTCAATGCTGGTCAACCAGGAAACAAATCAAAGCATGATATTGAAGGAAGGCTTATAGCCACCAAAAAAATTTAAAATTAAAAAAAAGAGTCGGTGAAAGGAATTACATCTAGAAAGAAGGACTTGGAGGTGGAAATGGAAAGAAATTTAACATTTCAGTTCATAACCTTCTCGACGATCGAAATTGTTGATACTCTCCGTGAATAGCCAGTTTCAGAATAAAGAAACAAATATGCAGGTGTCTAAACAAATACTTCCCAACTGAACTGAAAAGAGCTAGTATTGCAAATCGTGGTTACCGTTGCAACGCTGTAACACACACATGGCCAGCCATGTTTTTCTGTGGAGGATGAGATAGTAAATAGCTTAGGCTCCTTGGGTCTGGCTGTCTCTGGCAAGCCCTCAGCTCTGCTGTGCAATGTGAAAGCATCCATTTAGAGGAAGCCTCACAGGCGGGCGCAAGTGTGTTCCAATAAAATGTCATTTCTGGACACCAAGCTTATATTTCAGATAATTTCTGTGTCTCAAGGAATATTATACCAAAATTATATTTCAGATGATTTCTGTGTCAAGGAATATTATTCTTCTCCTGATTTTCTCTCACTTATTGAAAGATGGAAAACCCGCCAGGTGCAGTGGCTCACACATGTAATCCCAACACTCTGGGAGGCCAAGGCGGGTGGATCACCAGGTCAGGAGTTCAAGACCAGCCTGGCCAAGATGGTGATATCCCATCTTTACTAAAAACATGAAAATTAGCCAGGCATGGTGGCCGGCGCCTGTAGTCCCAGCTACTTGGGAGGCTAAGGCAGGAGAACTGCTTGAACCTGGAGGGGTGGAGGTTGCAGAGAGCCCAGATCATGCCACCACACTCCAGCCTGGGTGACAGAGTGAGACTCCATCTCAAAAAAAAAAAAAAAAAAAAAGTCTTACCTCTTGGCATTTCTGCCATGGTAGTGCTTTCTGCTTTCACTAAGAATCCTATTAATTCGTTTATGATGGGCAGCTCTCTGATGAGAGCTGCATTCTTGTTAGCCACGGTTTCCCCAGAGTTCTCATTAGGGACTGACAAAGAGTGGAAAGGAAGGATAAAAGGATGGAGAGGTGGATTCACTAAGCATATGTAGGTTCTTATCCAGGCCAGAGAAGGACGGATCAGCCACGGCAGTGGACGCCATCTGCACACATCGCCCCGACCCTGCAGGGCTCAGACTGGACAGAGAGCGACTATACTGGGAGCTGAGCAAGCTGACCAATGGCATCCACAAGCTGGGCCCCTACACCCTGGACAGGAACAGCCTCTATGTCAATGGTGAGTAGCTGTAATGTGGTTAGAGGCTCTTCCTCCTTACTGGGCAGCCTGTAATCTCTGGCTTGAGGTCACACTCACTGCCAGGCAATTGAAAATTCAGCCATGTGCTCTACATGGGATGACTACATTCTGGACTTCATGATTTCTTCATCGTCATAGAACAAATTCCATCAGGACATTCTTCCCTGATGTGAGGATGCTGATAGGAAATGCCTAATGGTCCCTATTCCATAAACCTTCTTACATTGCCCCAGGGTAGCCCTGACCCCTGTTTAGTCCCCCACGACTCCTTTTCACCTACTTACACTCCTCCCTCCTTCTCTTTGCAGGTTTCACCCATCGGAGCTCTGTGTCCACCATCAGCAGTGAGTATGCAACTCATGTCCACATGCCCATGATCTTACACCAAACAAAGCAAGAGCTTCCCCTCCTCATAAACCCATAAGTTCTCCTCTTGAGCAAAGCAGGTGGGAAGGCAGAAATTATTCAAGCTCCCCTCTGCCTCAGTTCCAAAGACAGACTCAGCTCAAGCCCACATGCAGCAAACCCTGTAAAAGTCTCACCTCGTGGCATTTCTGCCATGGTAATGCTTTCTGCTTTCACTAATGAGGACTTCTCCTCAGCTCCTGGGACCTCCATAGTGGATATGGGAACCTCAGGGACTCCATCCTCCATCTCCAGCCCCATGAGTAAGTACTAGTCAATGGCATTTCTATTAGAGCATGCTGTCCCTGTCATTTTTACTCAAATGAAGATGGAAAGTCATAGTAAATAAACTGATAGCGAGTGGACCAGTGAAATTTATTGGCCACTTAATGTGTACCAGATCCTAGGAACACAGCAAGGAAAATAAAACCAATAAAAAATCTCTGCTCTCAGTGAGCTTATATTCTTGTGATGATGATGTTAGTGGTGGTGGTGGTACTGGTGCTGCTGCTGCTGCTGATGATGATGCTGTTGAGGCTGTTGATGATGGTGATAGTAATGTTGATGACAAAGATGATGATGAAGAAAATGATGCTCATGATGGTGGCAGGGGTTATTATGGTAATAATGATATGTTAAGTGTGATGATGATGGTTGGTGGTGGTGATGATGATGATGATGATTTTATGCTAGCGACGTTGATGATGGTGATGTCGATGACAATGAGGATGATAGTGATGAGGATGATGTCGGTGATGGTGGTGGGGTTACAATGGTCATGATATGTTGAATGTGATGATGATGATGATGATTTTATGCTAGCGACGTTGATGATGGTGATGTCGATGACAATGAGGATGATAGTGATGAGGATGATGTCGGTGATGGTGGTGGGGTTACAATGGTCATGATATGTTGAATGTGATGATGATGATGATGATGTTTGTGGTGGTCATGATGGAGATTGTCATGGTTGTGCTGGTGGTACTCGTGATGACAGTAATGATGACGGTGACAATGATAGTGGTGATGATGATGGTGATAATAAAGATAACAGTTAACATCTCACAATGTTGAGCACTAAATATGTGCCAAGAGCTATGCTCAGCATCCAACTACTAGTATGTAATCTACTTTAGAAAATAAATTGTATCATTATAGATAAGAAAGGTATGGAAAATATTTATTATGTCACTCAATTTAAATGCTGCATATGGTTATTACAAAGTGCTATTTTCTCTACTTTGACCATAATATTTACTTCCCACTCCCACTATAGCAGCTGTTCCTCTCCTGGTGCCATTCACCCTCAACTTCACCATCACCAACCTGCAGTATGAGGAGGACATGTGTCGCCCTGGCTCCAGGAAGTTTAACACAACAGAGAGGGTCCTACAGGGTCTGGTTAGTGCCCTTCTCACTCTGCCCTGCTCACGATACCCAGTCCTTCCTACATCATCCATGCCAGGGCAATGGAAGAAGATCACACCTAACTCACTCTTGCCCCAAGAGATGAAAGCCTCAGCTGGGCACAGTGGCTCATGCCTGTAATCCCAGCACTTTGGGAGGCCGAGGCAGGTGGATCACCTGAGGTCAGGAGTTCATGACCAGCCTGACCAACATGGTGAAACCTCATCTCTACTAAAAATACAAAAATTATCCAGGCGTGGTCATGTATGCCTATAATTCCAGCTACTTAGGAGGCTGAGGCAGGAGAATCACTTGAACCCAGGAGGCAGAGGTTGCAGTGAGCCAAGATCGTGCCATTTCACTCCAGCCTAGGCAAATATGTGGAACTCCGTCTCAAAACAAAAACAAAAAACTGCAAGCCTTGCCCACGGAGGCCAGCCCTGCTCACCTCACTTCTGCCTGGCTCTTACAGCTTAGCCCTCCTGCTCACCTCCCTCTCCCTCCTCCACAGCTCAGGCCCCTGTTCAAGAACACCAGTGTTGGCCCTCTGTACTCTGGCTGCAGACTGACCTTGCTCAGGTGAGACCTTAGAAAAGCCAGCCTGGCCGCCCCAATTGTTCTCACTCCAAAAGACTTTGCACTGCTTCTTTGCTGTATTTCCTAGGAATATTCTCACCAAGAGTGGAATTCAGGAGTCACTGGCTTCAGGACCAGTGTGTTTCCTGCTAGTAACAGCCCCATACCCCACCTCAACAGAGAGAATCTGCATGGCCCATCATCAGGACAGAGCCCCTACCCTGATCATCCCTCTGACTTCTCGCCTTTCCCTGCCCCTCCCTTTCCTTTACATGTTATATTCTGTCCCCAGGACTTCTCTCAAGACAACTATTCCTCATCCACATGCTTTCATCCTCATTTCCAGCTCTTCACTGGGGTCAAGTCTGGCTCCCATGTCCATCCCATCCATGAAGATGCAGGTTTCATCTTGCACTTTTATAAAACTTCTTGTATCCGTGGCTCCACTCACAGTCCCAAGCAAGCCAATAGTCCATGCACTAAGAATCTATGTGGCTTCTCACCTCTTTCCCAGGTTTCTCATTTCCTCTGGTTCCTTACTGTCCTTCCCTCAGCACTCTTAAGACACAACCTAGGTAATCTTTTCATTGTCATGTTTCCCACTGACCCTCCCCAGGCCCGAGAAGGATGGGGCAGCCACTGGAGTGGATGCCATCTGCACCCACCGCCTTGGCCCCAAAAGCCCTGGACTCAACAGGGAGCACCTGTACTGGGAGCTAAGCAAGCTGACCAATGGCATCAAAGAACTGGGCCCCTACACCCTGGACAGGAACAGTCTCTATGTCAATGGTGAGTGCCTGTGACGTGGTTGAAGTCTCTTCTTCCTTGCTGGGCAGCCTCTAATCTGTAACTAGAGGTCACACTCTCTGCCTGGCAATTGAAAATTCTGTCATGTGCTCTACATGGGATGGATGACTCAGGTCTGGACTTTGTGATTTCCTTATCATCGTGGACTGTGTTCTCTCAGGGCTTTCTTTCCTGATGTGAGGATGCTCATAGGAAATCTTCAATGGTCTCTGTACCATGAAACTCATTTTGTTGTACCAGGGTAGCATTGACGTCTGTTTGGTCCCCCATCTCTCCTTGTCACTTACCCACTCTCCTCCCTTCTCCATGCAGGTTTCACCCATCGGAGCTCTGTGCCCACCACCAGCAGTGAGTATTCAACTTATGTTCACATGCCCTGGTTCCTATACCAAGAGGAGCAGGAGCTAGCCCCTCCTCATAAATCCATAAGTCCTCTTCATGAGCAAAGGAGTTAGGAGGGCAGAAGTTATTCAAGTGCCCCTCTGCCCAGCTCAAAAAGCTGAACCAGTTCAAGCCACACATGCAGCAAACCCCAAGAATAGTCTCCCCTTTTGCCATTTCTGCCAAGAGAATGCTTTCTGCTTTCACTGATGAGAACTTTTCCTCAGCTCCCGGGGCTTCCACAGTGGATCTTGGAACCTCAGGGACTCCACCCTCCCTCTCCAGCTCCACAAGTAAGTATCAGTCAGGGACATCTCTATTAGAGCACGCTCGATGAGTGTAAACATCTGTCATTTTCACTCAGATAAAAATGAAAAATCATAGTAAATCTTGTGATAGTAAGTAGACAAACAAAATGTTTTGGCTACCTACTGTGTACCAGACCCCGGGGATACAGTAAGAAAAACAAAATCAATTAAAAAAAAAAAAAAACTCTGCCCTCAATGAGTTTGCATTCTTGTGATGATGATGATGATGGTGGTGGTGGTGCTGATATGATAATGATGCTGATGGTCATACTGTTAATGATGGCAGTAGTGATTATGATGATGAGGATGATGCTGGTGATGTCGGTGGAAGTTGTGATGCTAATTATGATGTATTGAGTGTAATGATGGTGGTGTTGCAGCTTGTGATGGTGATGATGGTGGTGGTGATGTTGATGACAATGGTGATGATGATGAGGATGATGCTGTGATGGTGGTGCTGTCATGATGGTAGTGATTATGTATTGAGTGTGATGATGATGGTGGTAGTATTGCTGTTTATAATGATGATGATGATAGTGGTGATAATGATGGTGGTGGTGATGTTGATGACAATGATGATAATGGTGATAAGGATGATGCTGGTGATGGTGGTGGGTTACGATGGTAATGATGAAGTGTTGAGACGGATGATGTTTGTGGTGGTCATCTTGGGGATTATCATGATGGTGACAATGGTGGTGATGATGGTGTTAATAAAGTTAAGAGAAAATGCCACACAGTATTGAGCAATAAATATTCAGCAAGACCTATGCTCAGCATCTACTATTATATAATATACTTTTATAAAAATAAATTTTATTATTATAGGCAAGGGAGGCATGGTAAACATTTTGTCTCTCAATTTAAACTTTGCATATGTTTAAAGATGTCTATTTCAAACCCCTATTTTCTCTACTTTGAACATAGTGTTTATTTCCAATTCCTATTACAGCTGCTGGCCCTCTCCTGGTGCCGTTCACCCTCAACTTCACCATCACCAACCTTCAGTATGAGGAGGACATGCATCGCCCTGGCTCCAGGAAGTTCAACACCACGGAAAGGGTCCTGCAGGGTCTGGTGAGAGCCCTGCCCACTTTACTCCTGCCCCACCCCAGATACCCAGTCCCTCCTACATCATTCATGCCAGGGCTATGGAAGAAGATTACACCCATCTCATCACTTCCCACAAAAGGTGCAAGCCCTGCTCACTTAAGCTAGCCCTGCCCACTGGTGCCTGCTCCACCCCCGACTTCTGCCCCCTATACACGCACCTTAGCCCTCCTACTCACATTTTTCTCCCTCCTCCACAGCTTGGTCCTATATTCAAGAACACCAGTGTTGGCCCTCTGTACTCTGGCTGCAGACTGACCTCTCTCAGGTGAGGCCTTAGAAGAGCCAGACTGGCTGCCTCAATTTTTTCCACTTCAACAGACTTTGCACAATTTCCTTGCTGCACTTCCTAGGAGTAGCCTCACCAAAACGGGAATTCAGGACTCACTGGCTTCAGAACCAGTGTGTTTCCTGATAGTAACACCCCAGTACCTCACCTCAACAGGGAGAATCTGCAGAGTCCATCATCAGGATTGAGCTCTGCCCTGATCATCCCTCTGAATTCTCCCCTTTCCCTGCCTCTCCCTTTCCTTTAGGTCTTAAATTCTGTCCCCAGGATTTCTCTCAAGACAATCATGCCTCATCCACGTGCTTTCATCCCCAGCTCTTCACTGGTCTCAAGTCTGAGTTGTTCTTTCCCCATGCCATGAGAATGCAGGTTTCACCTTGCACTTTTACAAGCATGGTTGTATCCATGACTCTACTCACAGTCGCAAGCAGGCCAATAGTCTGTGCACACAGAAAATCTAAGTGTGGCTTCTCACCTCTTTCCCAAGTTTCTCATTTCCTCTGATTCCTTACTGTCCTTCCCTCAGCAGTGTAAAGACACAACCTAGGTAATCTTTTCATAGTCATTCTCCCTACCTACCTTCCCCAGGTCTGAGAAGCATGGGGCATCCACTGGAGTGGATGCCATCTGCACTCACCATCTTGACCCTAAAAGCCCTGGACTCAACAGAGAGCGGCTGTACTGGGAGCTGAGCCATCTGACCAATGGCATCAGAGAGCTGGGCCCCTACACCCTGGATGGGAACAGTCTCTATGTCAATGGTGAGCAGCTGTGACGTGGTTGGAAGTTCTTACTCCTAGAGTTTGGGCAGACTCTAATCTCTGGCTTGAGGTCACACTCCCTGCCTGGTCATTGAATATTCTGTCATGTGCTCTACATAGGATGACTAAGTTCTGGACTTCACAGTTTCTTCATCATAGTGAACTGCATTCCCTCAGGGCACTCTTCCCTGTTGAGAGGATGCTGATAGGAAGTCTTTAATGGCCCCTGTCCCATGAAACTCATTTAATTGCACTAGGGTATCCCTGAACCCTGTTATGTTCCCTACATCTCCTTAACACTTACCCAGTCTCCTCCCTCCTCTATTCAGGTTTCGCCCCTCGGAGCTCTGTGCCCACCACCAGCAGTGAGTATTCAACCCATGTCCACATGTCCCTGATCCTATATCAAGTGGAGCCCCTCCTCATGAACCCATAAGTCCTCTTCTTAAGCAAAAGAGCTGAGAAGGCGGAAGCTATTGAAGCTCCTTTCTGCCCCAGCTCCAAAGACAGATCCAGCCCAAGCCCCCATGAAGCAGACCTCATAATAGTCTACCCTCTTACCATTTCTGCCGTGAGAGTGCTTTCTGCTTTCACTGATGAGGACTTTTTCTCAGCTCTTGGGACCTCCACAGTGGACCTAGGAACCTCAGGGACTCCATCCTCCCTTCCCAGCCCCACAAGTAAGTACCAGTCAATGGCATCTCTATTAGATCATGCCTGATGAATGTAAACATCTGTGCCATTTTAACTCAAACGAAGATGGAAAATCATAGTGAATCTGGTGATAGTGAGTGAAGCAAAAAAATTTATTGGCCACCTACAGCGTACCAGACCCTAGGGATACAACAAGGAAAACAAAACCAATACAAACATCTCTGCCCTCAGTGAGCTTGTGTTCGTGTCATGATGATGGTGGTCATGGTAGTTATGATAGTAATAATGACATGTTGAATGTGATGATGATTGCTGATGATTGTGATGCTGTTGATGATGATGGTGATGATGCTACTGACGATGATGATGATGGACATGAGGATGTTGTCAGTGATGGTTGTGAAAGTTATGATGATGATGATGTGTTAAGTGTAATAATGATGATTATGGTGGTGGTGCTGTTTATGATGTGACCATGGTACTGGTGATGATGTTGATGATGGTAGTGGTGAGTTTGATGACAATAACAATGATGGTGATGAGGATGATGCCAGTGATGGTTGTGCGGCTATGAGGATATGTTGAGTGTGGTGATGATGATGTTTGTGGTGGTCATGATGGGGATTATCACGGTGGTAATGGTGATAATAATGATGGTGATCGTGACGATGGCCATAACAAAGATAACAGATAACATCAGACGATATTGAGCACTGAATATGCATGACTAGCTATGCTCACCATCTAACTACTATTATATCATATACTTTTATAAAAATAAATTGTATTATTATAGGCAAGGGAGACATGGTAAATATTTTGTCTCTCAAATTTTGCATATGTTTAAAGATAAGTCTATTCCAAACCTCTATTTTCTCTACTTTGAACATAGTTTTTATTTCCAATTCCCACTACAGCAGCTGGCTCTCTCCTGGTGCCATTCACCCTCAACTTCACCATCACCAACCTGCAGTACGAGGAGGACATGCATCAACCTGGCTCCAGGAAGTTTAACACCACAGAAAGGGTCCTGCAGGGCCTGGTGAGAGCCCTGCTCTCACTTTGCCCCACCCCAGACATCCAGTCCCTTCTACATCATTCATGCCAGGGTGATGAAAGGAGATGGCACCAACCTCCCCCTACCCCCAAGAGATGCAAGCCCCACACACAGAGGCCAGCCCTGCTCATTGGTGCCTGCTCTGCCCACCTCACATCTGCCCCAACACACACACACACTTTAGCCCTTCTACTCACTTTCCTCCCTCTCTTCCACAGCTTGGTCCCATATTCAAGAACACCAGTGTCGGCCCTCTATATTCTGGCTGCAGACTGGACTCTCTCAGGTGAGAATTTAGAAGAGCCAGACTGGCTGCCCCAATTGTTCCCAGTCTAAAAGACTTTGCACTGCCTCCTTGATGCTCTTCCTAAGGATATCCTCACCAAAAGGGGAATTCAGGAGTCACTGGTTTCAGAACCAGTTGTTTCCTGATTGTAACACCCCTACACCCCACCTCAACAGGCAGGATCTTCATGGTCCATCATCAGGATTGAGCCTCTGCCCTGATCATTCCTCTGGATTCCCTCCTTTCCCTGCCCCTCCCTTTCATTTAGTTGTTAAATTTTGTCCCAGGACTTCTCTTAAGACAATCATGCCTCATCCACATGCATTCATCCCCCTTTCAAGATCTTCACTGGTCTCAAGTCTGAGTTGTTCTTTCCCCATGCCATGAGAATGCAGGTTTCACCTTGCACTTTTACAAAAATTATTATACCCATGACTCTGCTCACAGTCCTAAAAAAGACAGTTGTCTGTGCACTCAGATTATTTCAGTGTGGCTTCTCTTTCCCAGGCTTCTCCTTTCCTCTGGTTCCTTACTGTCTTCCCCTCAGCAGTCTAAAGACAAACCCTAGGTAATCTTTTCATCATCATTCTTTCCACCTACGTTCTCCAGGCCCAAGAAGCATGGGGCATCCACTGAAGTGGATGCCATCTGCACCTACCATCTTGACCCCAAAAACCCTGGACTCAATAGAGAGCAGCTGTACTGGGAGTTGAGCCAGCTGACCAGTGGCATCAAACAGCTGGGCCCCTACACCCTGGATGGGAACAGTCTCTATGTCAATGGTGAGCAGCTGTGACGTGGTTGGAGGTACTTCCTCCTAGAGTCTGGGCAGACTGTAATCTCTGGCTTGAAGTCTCACTGCCTGCCGGGCCATTGAATATTCTGTCATGTGCTTTACATGGGATGACTAAGTTCTGGACTTCACAGTTTGTCATAGTGAACTACATTCTCTGAGGGGACTCTTCCCTGTTATGAGGATGCTGACAGGAAATCTTTAATGGCCCCTGTCCCATGAAACTCATTTAATTGCATCAGGATAGCCATGACCCCTATTACATCCCCCACATCTCCTTAACCCTTACCCCACCTCCTCCCTTCTCTATGCAGGTTTCACCCACAGGAGGTCCGTGCCCACCACCAGCAGTGAGTATTCATTCATGTCCACATGCCCCTGATCCTACATCAAGTGAAGCAGGAGCTGGCCCCTCCTCATAAACCCATAAGTCCTCCTCATGACCAAAGGAGCTGGGAAGGCAGAAGTCATTCAAACTCCCCTCTGTTTCAGCTCCAAAGGCAGACCCAGCTCAAGCTCACATGCATTAGACCTCATAATAGTCTACCCTCTTGCCATTCCTGCCATGAGAGTGCTTTCTGTTTTTACTGATGAGGACTTTTCCTCAGCTCCTGGGACCTCCACAGTGGGACCTGGAACCTCAGCAACTCCATCCTCCTTCCCCAGCCCCACAAGTAAGTACCAGACCTCTCTATTAGAGCATGCCTGATGAGTGTGAACATCTCTGCCATTTTTACTCAAATAAAGATGGAAAATTATAGTAAATCTGGTAATAGTGAGTGAACCAAAAACATTTATTGGCCACCTACTGTGTACCAGGCCCTAGGGATACAGCAAGAAAAACAAAACCAATTAAAAAATATCTCTGCCCTCAGTGAGCTTATATTCATGTGATGATGATGATAATGGTGGTGGTGCTAGTTGCTGTTGATGGTGATGATCATGATCATGAGGGCAATGCTATTGATAATAGTGGTGGTGGTGGTGCTGATGTCGATGATGATGATCATGATCATGAGGGCAATGCTATTGATAATAGTGGTGGTGGTGGTGCTGATGTCGATGATGATGATCATGATCATGAGGGCAATGCTATTGATAATAGTGGTGGTGGTGGTGCTGATGTCGATGATGATGATCATGATCATGAGGGCAATGCTATTGATAATAGTGGTGGTGGTGGTGCTGCTGTTGATGATGATGATCATGATAGTGATGCTGTTGATGATAATGTGGTGATGTTGCCAACCATGATGATGGACATGAGGATGATGTCAGTGATGGTTATGATGTTAGTGGTGATGTGTTGAGTGTGACGATGATGGTGGTGGCAGTGGCGGTGGTGCTCTTTATGATGTTGATAATGAAACTGGTGATATTCATGACAGTGACAATAATGGTGATGCGGATGATGTCAGAGATGGTCGTGGGGTTACGATGATAATGGTGATGTGTTGAGTGTGCTGCTGATGATATCTGTGGTGGTCATGCTTGGGACTGTGGTGGTGATGATAATAATGGTGATGGTGACAATGATAGCAATGATAATGATGACAATAAAAAAGATAATGGATAACATCAGACAATATTGAGCACTGAATATGAACCAAGAGCAATTCTCAGCATCTAACTGCTATTAAATAATATCCTTTAAAAAATAAGTTCTGTCATTGAAGGCAGGGGAGGCATGTTAAATATTTATTTAGTCATCCAATTTAAATGTTGTGTATGTTTAAACTTAAGTCTATTGCCAGCTCCTATATTCTACACTTTGAACATAGTATTGATTTCCCACTCCCACGACAGCAGCTGTTCCTCTATTGGTGCCGTTCACCCTCAACTTCACCATCACCAACCTGCAGTATGAGGAGGACATGCATCATCCTGGATCCAGAAAGTTCAACACCACAGAGAGGGTCCTGCAGCGTCTGGTTAGTGCTCCACCCTCCTCACTCTGCCCCAACCCAGATACTCAGTCCCTCCTACAACACCCATACCAGGGCAATGTAAGAAGAATGCACTCACCTCACCCTCTCCCCAAGAAATGTAAGCCTCACCCACTGAGGGCAGCCACACCCACTGAGGCCAGCCTGACCCACTTGGCCCTGCCCCACCCACCTTATTTCTGCCCTCATACAGAGACCTTAGCCCTCCTACTCACCTCTCCTTCCTCCACAGCTTGGTCCCTTATTCAAGAACTCCAGTGTCGGCCCTCTGTACTCTGGCTGCAGACTGACCTCTCTTAGGTGAGACTGGAATAGCCAGCCTGGCTGCCCCATACGTTCTCACTCCAAAAGACTTTGCACTGCTTCCTTGCTACACTTCTAGGCATAGCCTCACCAAAGGCGGGATTCGGGAGTCAATGGATTTGGGAACAGTCTGTCTCCTGATAGTAACCTCCCCACACCCTACCTCAACAGAGGGAATCTGCATGGTCCATCATCAGGATTGAGCCCCTAATCTGCTCATCCCTCTGAATTCCCTCCTTTTCCTGTCCCTCCCTTTCCTTTAGGTATTAAATTCTGTCTGCAGGATTTCTCTCAAGACAATCATGCCTCATCCATGTGCTTTCTTCCCCATTTCCAGCTATTCACTGGTCTTAAATCTGGACTCTCCTGTACCCATGCCATGAGAATGCAGGTTTCACCTTGCACTTTTATAAAAACTGGTGCATCCATGACTCTGCTCACAGTCCCAAGCAAGCCAGTGGTCCATGCACTCAGAGAATCTAAGTGTGGCTTCTCACCTCTTTCCCAGGTCTCTCATTTCCTCTAGTCCCTTGCTGTTCTTCCCTCGGCAGTCTCAAGACTGTCCTAGGTAATCTTTTCATTGTCATTCTCCCCACTTACCTTCCCCAGGTCTGAGAAGCATGGGGCAGCCACTGGAGTGGATGCTATCTGCACTCACTGTCTTGACCCTAAAAGTCCTGGACTCAACAGAGAGCAGCTGTACTGGGAGCTGAGCCAGCTGACCAATGGTATCAAAGAGATGGGCCCCTACACCCTGGACAGGAACAGTCTCTATGTCAATGGTGAGCAGCTGTGACATGGTTGAAATCTCTTCCTCCTTGCTGAGCAGCCTCTAATCTCTAACTAGAGGTCACACTCCCTGCTTGGCAATTGAAAATTCTGTCATGTGCTCTACATGAGATGTCTCAGGTCTGGATTTCATGATTTCCTTATCATCATGGACTGTGTTCTCTCAGGGCATTCTTTCCTGATGTGAGGATGCTGATAGGAAATCTTCAATGGCTTCTGTACCATGAAATTCATTGTATTGCACCAGGGTCAGTTTGACCCCTATTTAATCGTCAGTGTCTCTTTAACTCTTACACACTCCCCTCCCTCCTTCTCTACTCAGGTTTCACCCATTGGAGCTCCATGCCCACCACCAGCAGTGAGTATTCAACTCATGTCCACATGCCCCTGATCCTACACCAAGCGTAGCAGAATCTGGCTCCCCTCATAAACCCATAGGTCCTCTTCTTCAGCAAAAGAGACAGGAAGGCAGAAGTTACTCAAGCTCCACTCTGCCCTAGCTCCAAAAACTGATCTGTGTTTAGCCAGACAGGCAGCAGACCCCATAAATTGTCTCCCCTCTTGCCATTTCTGTCATGAGAATGCTTTCTGCTTTCACTAATGAGGACTTTTCCTCAGCTCCTTGGACTTCCACAGTGGACCTTGGAACCCTAGGGACTCCATCCTCCCTTCCCAGCCCCACGGGTAAGTAGCAGTCAGTGGCATCTCTATTAGAGCATGCATGATAAATGTAAACAACTCTGCCCTTTTCATTCAAATAAAGATAGAAAATCATAGTAAATCTAGTGATAGTGGGTGGACTAAAAAAAAATTATCGGCCACCTACTTTGTGCCAGACCCAAAGGATGCAGCAAGGAAAACAAAACCAATAAAAACATCTGTGCCCTCAGTGAGCTTGTGTTCACGTGGTGATGATGGTGGTGGTGATGGTTATGAGGATGATGGTGATGATGATGATAGTGATGGTGTTGATGATGATGATGGTGGTCTTGTTGGCCATGATGACAATGGACATGAGGATGATGGCAGTGATGGTTATGATGTTAGTGATGATGTGTTGAGTGTGATCATGATGGTGATGGCGGTGCTGTTTATTTTTTTATTTTTCTTTTTTTGGGGGTGCTGTTTTATGATGGTGATGATGAGACTGGTGATGTTGATGGCAATGACATTGATGGTGATGAGGATGATGCCAGTGATGGTCGTGGGGTTATGATGATAATGGTGATTTGTTGAGTGTGCTGCTGATGATATCTGTGGTGGTCATGCTTGGGATTGTGGTGGAGATGATAATAATAACGATGATGGTGACAATGGCAGCAACGATGATGGCAATAAAAAGATAACAGGTAACATCAGACAATATTAAGCACTGGATATGCACCAAGAGCAATGCTCAGCATCTAACTACTATTATAAAATATCCTTTAAAAAATAAATTCTGTCGTTATAGGCAAGGGACACAAGGTACATATTTAGCCATTCAATTTAAATGTTGCCTATGTTTAAAGATAAGTCTATTGCAAACTCCTATTTTCTCTGCTTTGAACATAGTATTTATTTCCCACTCCCACTACAGCAGCTGTTCCTCTCCTGCTGCCATTCACCCTCAACTTCACCATCACCAACCTGCGGTATGAGGAGGACATGCATCGTCCTGGCTCCAGGAAGTTCAAAACCACAGAGAGAGTCCTGCAGGGTCTGGTTAGTGTCCTGCCCTCTTCACTCTGCCCTGCCCCAGATGCCCAGCCACTGTACAACATCCATGCCAGGGCGATGGAAGAAGATCGCACCCAACTTGCCCTCATCCCAGAGATGCAAGCCTCACCCACAGAGCCCAGCCATGCCCAATGGTGCCTGGTGCCTGCCTCACCCACCTCAATTCTGCCTTCCACACAGGGACCTTAGCCCTCTTTCTCACCTCTCTCTCCCTCCTCCACAGCTTGGTCCCATTCTCAAGAACACCAGTGTCGGCCCTCTGTACTCTGGCTGCAGACTGAACTCTCTTAGGTGAGACTAGAATAGCCAGCCTGGCTGCTCCAATTGTTCTCACTCCAAAAGACTTTGCACTACTTCCTTTATACACTTCCTAGGCATAACCTCACCGATGGAGGGATTCAGGAGTCACTGGCTTCAGGACCAGTGTATCTCCTGATAGTAACACCCCACATCCCACCTCAACAGAGAGAATCTGCATGATCCATCATCAGGATTGAGCTCCTACACTGATCATCCCTCTGAATTCCCTCTTTTCGCTGCCTGTCCCTTTCCTTTAGGTGTTAAATTCTGTCCGCAGGATTTCTTTCAAGACTGTTATGCCTCATCCACGTGCTTTCATCCCCATTTCAAGGTCTTCACTGGTTTCAAGTCTGGGCTCTTTTTCCCATGCCATGAGAATGCAAGTTCCACTCTTGCACTTTTATGAGAATTGTTTTATTTATTAATTTTTTGGAGGGTCGGGGGAGATGGAGTCTTGCTCTGTCGCCCAGGCTGGAGTGTACTGGCACGATCTCAGCTCACTGCAGCCTCTACCTCCCAGATTCCAGCGATTCTCCTGCATCAGCCTTCCAAGTAGCTGGGATTACAGGCGCGTGCCACCACTACCAGCTAATTTTTTTATTTTCAGTAGAGACGGGGTTTCACCCTGTTGGCCATGCTGGTCTCAAATTCCTGAACTCAGGTGATCTGCTCACCTCAGCCTCCCAAAGTACTAAGATTATATGTGTGAGCCACCACATCCATCCTGAGAATCGTTGTATCCATGACTGCTCAGTACCAAGCAAACCAGTAGTCTGTGCACCCAGAGAATCTAAGTGTGTGGCTTCTCACCTCGTTCCCAGGTTTCTCATTTTCTCTTGTCCTTTGCTGTCCTTCCATCAGCAATCTCGTGACCTGTTCTAGGTAATCTTTTCATTGTCATTCCCCGCACCTCCTTTCTCTAGGCCTGAGAAGGATGGGGCAGCCACTGAAGTGGATGCTACCTGCTTCTACCACGCTGACCCCAAAAGCCCTGGGCTGGCCAGAGAGCAGCTGTACTGGGAGCTGAGCCAGCTGACCCACAGCATCACTGAGCTGGGCCCCTATGCCCTGGACAGGGACAGTCTCTATGTCAATGGTGAGTAGCTGTGATGTGGTTGGAGGCTCTTCCTCTCTGGTGGACAACCTCTACTCTCTGGCTTGAGGTCACACTCACTGCCTGGCCATTGAAGGCTTGACCATGTTGTCAATATTTGATAGTTGACATCAGAACATCATAGTTTCTTCTTTATGTTGGAGACTGGGTTTACCTTCAGATCTTTCTTCCCTGATGTGAGGGTCCTGATAGAAAACCTCCAACAGCCCCTGCTCCATTTCACCAAGGTAGCCTGACCCCTAATTGGTTATCTACCTCTACCTTAACCTTACCCAGGTTACTCCCCCTGTCTCTGCAGGTTTCACCCATCAGAGCTCTGTGACCGCCACCAGTAGTGAGTATTCAACTACTTGTGCCCCTGATCTTACACAAAGCAGAGTAGGAGCTGACCCTCCTCCTTATAAATCGATAACACCTCTTCTTAAGAGAAGGAGCTGGGAAGGCAGAAGTTATTCATCCTCCCTTCTGCCCCAGCTACGGACTGATCTAGGTCAAGCCCCATATGCATCAAGCTCCATAATAGTCTTACCTCCTGGCATTTCTGCCATGAGGGTACTTGCTGCTTTCACTAATGAGAGCTTCTTTTCAGCTCCTGGAATCTCCACAGTGCACCTGGCAATCTCTGGGACTCCATCCTCCCTCCCCAGCCACACAGGTGAGCACCAGTCAATGATACCAGTCAATGATGAATGTCTACAGCTCTGTCATTTTCATGTGAATTAAGATGAAAAATCATAGTGTTGCTGATGCAATCAACACATTTTATTGAGTACCTACGTACTCTGTGCCGGGTCTACGGAATATAGCAGGGAATACAAAAGAGATAAAAATATCTTCCTTCAGAGAGCTTATATTCTTGTGATGACGAGAATGATAAGGGTGGTGGTGATGATGATGGTGGATGGAGATGATGATGATGGAGATGACTATAAAGATGGTGATGCTGCTAATGATGTTGGCGATAGTGATGTTGATTATGGAGATGGTGATGAAGATGATGGCAATAATGGCGATGCTGGTTATAACAGTAATGGTGATGTAATGGTGGTGATGTTGGGATGATTGTGGTGATAGTGGCGATATTTGAGATGATTGTGGTGGTGGTGATGATGGTGATGGTGATTGCCAGTGATGATTGTGATGTTGACAATGAGGATGATGATGATGATGATGATTATGGTGGTGGTTATCCTGGTAATGATAATGTGGTTATGGTGGCAGTGATGATACTGATTATGATTGCTATGGTAGTGATGGTGATGAGGATGATGGTAGTGGTGGTGCCGATGTTGGGAGTGATGAAAGTGATGATAGCCATGGCGACAACTATGGTTATGTTGATAATGAAGGTGGCAATAACAGAGGTAAAAAATAACATCTGACATTATTGAGCACTGAATCTGCACCAAGAGGTATTTTCACCAGGTAATTACAATGATATAATATGCTTCTTTATGAAAAATTTCTACCACTGTAGTCAAATAGAGGCATGAAAATCTTTTATTTTTCATTCACATTGAATGCTGTTTCATATATTTAATAATCAGTCTATTGCAAACTGTTACCTATTTCTCTACTTTGGAACACAGTGTTTATTTCTCAACCCCTTTACAGCCCCTGGCCCTCTCCTGATACCATTCACTCTCAACTTTACCATCACCAACCTGCATTATGAGGAAAGCATGCAACACCCTGGCTCCAGGAAGTTCAACACCACAGATAGGGTGCTGCAGAGTCTGGTAAGAGCTCCACCACCTTACTAGCCCCACTTGTATCACCCATGCCAGGGCCATGGAAGGTCTCACAGATCTCACCCACCACTCCTTGGCCCCAGAGAGGCAAGCCCTGCCTAATGATGCCAGCCCCTCCCACCGCATGTCTGCACCTGCCCCATCCCTACACCCCACCCACCCACTCACCTCCCTCCCCTTCTTCCACAGCTCAAGCCCTTGTTTAAGAACACCAGTGTCGGCCCTCTGTACTCTGGTTGCAGACTGACCTTGCTCAGGTGAGACCTTAGAAGAGCAAGTCTGGGTTCCCCAGTTGTTCCCAGGCCCAAGGAGTTTGGTCAGCTTCCTTCCTGCCCTACCAAGGGATGGCCTCAGCACAGATGGAATTCAGGAGGCACTGGCTCCAGAACCAACTTGTCTCCTGATTCTACCACCTCCCCCGTCAACTGACAAATTCTGCAAAGTCCATCAGCAGGATTGAGCCCTTACCCTCATCACCCCTCTAAATTCCCTCCACCTCCCTTTCCTCCAGTTAAGCTCTGTCCCCAGAATTCCTCTCCAAACAAACATGCCTCATCGACTTGCTTTCACCCCTAATTCCTGTTCTTCCCCTGTCTCAAGACTGAGTTCTTCTTTCCACATGCTGTGAGAATGCAGGTTCCACCGTGCAATTTCCTAAACGTCCTTGCATCCATGACTCTGCTCACAGTTGCAGGCTGGCAGGGAGTCAAAGCACTCAGAGGATCGAAGTGTGGTTCCTCTTACTTCTGTTCCAGGCTTCTCAATTCCTCTGGCCCCTTCCTGTCCTTCATCTAGTAAGTTCAGGACCCTTCCCTAGGCAATCTATTCATTGCTATTTCCCACTCTTGCCCTCCCTAGACCTGAAATGGATGGGGCAGCCACTGGAGTGGATGCCATCTGCACCCACCGCCTTGATCCCACTGGCCCTGGACTGGACAAAGAGCAGCTATACTGGGAGCTGAGCCAGCTGACCAAGAGCATCACAGAGCTGGGCCCCTACACCTTGGACAAGGGCAGTCTCTATGTCAATGGTGAGTAGCCGTGATGTGATTAGAGGCTCTTCCTTCTAGCTGGGCAGACTCTATTCTCTGTCCTGAGGTCACATGACCTGTCTGGCCATTGAAGGTTTAATGATGTGCTCTATATATGATGATTGAGGTTTCAGCTTCATGGCTTCATCTTCATCTCACATGGGTTTCACCCTTAAGGCCTTCTTCCCCCTTGTGAGGGTGCTGATGAAGAATCTCAATGACCAGGCTTCATGAAACTTTCCTCATTACACTAGGGTAACCCTGACCACTATTTGGTCCAAACTCTCTTCAACTCTCACCCACTCTCCTCTCTCCCTCTCTCTGCAGGCTTCACCCGTCGGAGCTCTGTGCCAACCACCAGCAGTGAGTATTTTTACTGATGTTCGAGTGCTCCCAATCCTACACCAAGCAAGGCAGGAGCTGACCTTACCTCTTAAGGCCTTATGTCCTCTTCATGAGGGAAAATGCTTGATGGGCACAGGTTATTCCCTTTCCCCTATGCTCCATGGAGAGGCTCAGCTGAAACCCCAAATGCAGCAGGGCCCATCATAGTTTTACTTGCTGGCATTTCCACCACGAGAGGGTTTGCTGCTTTCAGTAATGAGGGTTTCTTCTCAGTTCCTGGGACCTCTGCAGTGTACCTGGGAACCTCTGGGACTCCAGCCTCCCTCCCTGGCCACACAGGTAAGCACCTATCAATGGCGCCTCTGTTAGACCATGCCTGAGCGTGCCAACATCTCTGCCATTATTGGCTCAAATAAAGACAGAAAGTCATGGTCAATTTAGTGATGACGAGTCAACTCACAAACTTTAATGCCCAAGGATATAGCAGGGAACAGAAAACACATGAAATCTCTGCCTTCAGAGAATTTAAATTTCTGTGATGGTGATGATTAAGTGGGTGGTAGTGGTAATAATGATGATGACAGTGGTGATGGTGCTGATGACAGTGGTGGTAATGAGAAGGACAAGAATAATGGTGGTGATGAGGATGATGACAATGGTAGGAACAAAGGGAATAGATAATGTTTTTGACAATATTGAGCACTGAATATGTACCAACAGCTATGCTTAGTGTTTACCTACTACTGTGTGCTTTTTACAAAATTCTATCAATATAGGCAAGAGAGATATAGAGAACACTTATTTTGTCATTCACTTTAAATGCTACATATGTTTAAAAATAAGTCTATTGCAATATCATATTTTTCTACTTTTAACATGGTGTTTACTTCTCAATCCCACTGCAGCCCCTGGCCCTCTCCTGGTGCCATTCACCCTCAACTTCACCATCACCAACCTGCAGTATGAAGAAGACATGTGTCACCCTGGTTCCAGGAAGTTCAACACCACGGAGAGAGTCCTGCAGGGTCTGGTGAGAGTCCTACCATTTTGCCAGTCCCGCCTACATTAACTCTGCCAGGGCCATGGAAGTTCTCATCCACCACCCATGGGTCCCAGACATACAAGCCCAGCCTACTGATGCCAGCCCCTCCTACCTTATGTCTGCCCTGACCCTGCATGTCAATTCTCCCACTCACAGCCCCCTCTCCTCTGCAGCTCAAGCCCTTGTTCAAGAGCACCAGCGTCGGCCCTCTGTACTCTGGCTGCAGACTGACCTCGCTAAGGTGAGACCTTAGGGGAGCCAGCCTACCGTCCCTAGTTGTTCCCAGTCCCAAGAAGTTAGGACAACTTCCTTCCTGCCCTCCCTGGGGGTTCCCTCAGCACAAGTGGAATCCAGGAGGCAGTGGCTCCAGGACCAAGGTGTCTCCTGATAGTAACATCTCTCCACTCAACTGTGATGCCACACAGCTCATCAGCAGGATAGGGCCCCTACCCTGGTCATCCCTCCAAATTGCCTCCTTTCCCACCACCTCCCTTTCCTGCAGGTAATAAGTTCTACAATCAGCATTTCTCTCAAACACAAACATGCCTCATCCACTTGCTTTGATCCCCAATTCCAGCTCTTCACCAGCCTCAAGTCTGAGCTCTCCTGTCCCCATGCCCCAAGAATGGAGGATCTGCTTTATAATGTTACAGATATTTTTGTGTCCATGACTCTGCTCACAGATGCAGGCTGGCTGGGAGTTGATGCACTCACAGAGTCTACATGTAGCTTCTCACCTCTGTACCATTTCCTCTGGCTCCTGCCTGTCCTTTCCTCAAGAATCTCAGGACCCCTTCCTAGGCAATCCATTTATTGTCACTCCCCTCACCTATCCTCCTCAGGCCTGAGAAACATGGGGAAGCCACCAGTGTGGATGCCATCTGCACTCACCACCTTGATCCCAAGAACCGTGGACTGGACAGAGAGCAGCTGTACTGGGAGCTGAGCAAACTGACCCATGGCATCACTGAGCTGGGCCCCTACCTCCTGGATAGGGACAGTCTCTATGTCAACGGTGAGTGCCTGTGATGTGGTTGGAGGCTTTTCCTTCTTGATGAGCAGCCTCTACTCTCTGGCTTGAGGTCAAACTTCCTGCCTGACTATTCTAGGCATGGCCATGTTGTCTTTTTGTGATTGCTGACATCTAAACTTCAGTTTCTTCTTCATCTTGCGCTGAATATATCTTCAAGGCCTTCCCTGATGTGACGGTGGTGATAGAGAATCTCCAATGGCCTTTGTTCCATGAAACTCCTTCCATTACACCAGGGTACCCTGACCCTTATTTGGTCACCCACCTCTCCTTTGACTCTTATTCACTATTCTTCCTCTCTCTCTTTCTGCAGGTTTCACCCATTGGAACTCTGTACCCATCACCAGCAGTGAGTATTCAACTGATATTCCAGTTTCATTAATCCTACATTAAACAGGGCAGGAACTGAACCCACTTTATATGCCCTTATATTCTCTTCATGAGCAAAAAAGCTGGGTGGGCACAAGTTATTCCCTTTACCTTGTGCCCCAAGGAGAGACCCAGCTCCACATGCAGCAAGGCCCATAAATAGTCTTACCTGCTGGCATTTCTGCCATGAGAGCACTTGCTGCTTTCATTAATGAGGTCTTTTCCTCAGCTCCTGGGACCTCCACAGTGCATTTGGGAACCTCTGGAATTCCATCCTCCCTACCTAGACCCACAGGTAAGTACTGATTAGCAGAAACATTTCTGCCATTATTTACTCAAATAAAGGTAAAAATCATAGTAAATCCAGTGATGATGAGTCCACCCACAAATGTTATTGAGCATCTCCTCTGTGCCAGGCCCTGGGGTTACAGCAGGTATACAAAACAGATAAAAATCTCTGCTGTCAGAGAGCTTGTATTCTTGTGATGATGATAGTGGTGGTGGTTTTGATGATGATGGTGATGCTTATGGTAGCGATGATGATGATGAAGGTGGAGAGGATGATGACAATGGTGGAGGTTATGATGGTAACGATGATGTGTTGAGTGTGATAAATGATAGTGCTGGTGGTATTGTTGGAGATTATCATGGTGGTGGTCATGGCAGTGGTGGTGACAACAGTGATGTTGTGGGTGACGATGATGATGATGATGGTGCTGGTGGTGATGGAGTTTTTCATGGTGGTGGTGGTGGTGGAAGTGATGATGACAGTAATGATGGTGGTGATGATGGGGATTATCTTGGTGATGATGGTGGCAGTGATGATGGTGATGATGGTGGCAGTGATGTTGATGGAGATTATCATGGTAGTAGTGGTGATAGTATGATGACGACAGTCATGATGGTGATGATGATGATGGTGGTGATGGGGATTATTATGTTGGTGGTGGTGGCAGTAATGGTGGTGATGATGGTGGTGATGATGGGGATTATCATGGTGATGATGATGGTGATGATGAGGATTATCATGGTGGTGGTGATGGTGATGATGGTGATGGTAATGATCATGGTGGTGATGGTTGTGCTGGTGGTGATGATGGGGATTATCACAGTGGTGGTGGTGGCAATGATGATAACAATAATGATGCTGTAGGTGACGATGGTGATTATGATTATGGTAACAAAGGTAAGAGATAACGTATGATATTATCGAGCAATGAACATACAATGAAAGCTAAGCTCAGCATCCAACTGATGTGATATAGCATGTTATTTTTAAGTTCTATCACTGTAGGCAAGGGAGGCATTGAAAATCTTCATTTTGTCCATCCGTTTAATGCTGTGTATATTTAAAAATAATTCTACTGCAAACCCGTAACTTCTGAACATAGTGTTTGTTTCTCGCCCCCACTCCAGTGCCTGGACCTCTCCTGGTGCCATTCAACCTCAACTTCACCATCACCAACTTGCGGTATGAGGAGGACATGCGACATCCTGGCTCCAGGAAGTTCAACACCACGGAGAGGGTCCTACAGGGTCTGGTGAGAGTCCAACCCATCTAACTCTGCCTGGCCCACCTTATCAGATTCTACATGCATTGTCCATGCCAGGGATATAGATGAAGATCCCACATGAATCACCTTCAACCCAGAGACACCAGCCCTACCCACTGGTGTCATCCCCACCTGCCTCATTTCTGCCCTGCCCCTCCTCATCAGCCCTCCCAGTCACCTCCCTTACCCTCTCCCTCCACAGCTCAGGCCCTTGTTCAAGAATACCAGTATTGGCCCTCTGTACTCCAACTGCAGACTGACCTTGCTCAGGTGAGATCTTAGAATAACCCATCAGGGCTTCCCCAAGTGTTCCCAGACCCCAGGAGTTTTTTCAGCATTCTTCTTGCCCTATCTGTGATTGTCCTCGGAAAGCGGTTTCAGAAAGAACGTGTCTCTTGATCCTAGCACTTCCCCACTCAAGTGACAGATTCTGCAGAATCCATCATCAAGATTGGTTTCCTACTCCACTCATCCTTCTCAATAACATCCATTACCCATATCCCTTTCCTTAAGTTTTAAAATTCTGTTCCCAAGATTTCCCTCAAGAGAAAGGTAGCTTTTCCACTTGCTTTTATCTCTGACTCCAGCTCTTCACTTGTCTAAAGTCTGAGCTCTCCTGTCTTCATGGTGTCAAACTGCAGGTTTCACCTTGCAATTTCATAAATATCCTTGTATCCATGACTCTGCTCCCAGTCCAAGGCTGGCTGGGAGTCGGTGCATTTAGAGAAATTAATTATGGTTTCTCACCTGTCTCCCAGGCTTCTTATTTCCTCTGTACCCTCTCTGTCCTTCCCTCAGGAATCTCAGGACCCCTTCCTGGGCAATTCTTTCATTGTCATCTCCCACCTCTGCCCCTAACCTCCCCAGGCCAGAGAAGGACAAGGAAGCCACTGGAGTGGACGCCATATGTACCTACCACCTTGATGCCCAAAGCCCTGGACTGGATAGAGAACAGCTGTACTGGGAGCTGAGCTGGTTAACCCATAACATCACTGAGCTGGGCCCCTACACCCTGGACAGGGACAGTCTCTATGTCAATGGTGAGCAGCTTTGATGTGGTTGAGTCTTTTCCTACTTGCTGGGCAGCCCTTCTTCTCTGGCTTGAGGTCATACTTCCTGACTGGACATTGAAGCTTCTGCCATGTGATGATTGATGTCAGAACTTCATTATTTTTTTCTGTATCTTGGTCTGAGTTCATTCTTCAGACCCTGGTCTCTGAAGTGAATGTGCTGATAGAGAACCTCTAATGGCTCCTGTTCCATGAAACTCCTATTCCACCAGGGTAGCCCTAATTCCTGTTTGGTCCCCCAGCTCTCCTTAACCCTTACCCACTATCCTCCTTCCCTCTCTCTGCAGGTTTCACTCATTGGATCTCCATATCAACCACCATCAGTGAGTATTCAACTGATGCTCTAGTACTCCCAATTCTACTCCAAGCAGGGCAGGAGCTGAGCCCTCCCTATAAACAATTATGTCCTCTTCATGAGAGAAAGTGCTGGGAGAGCACAAGTGATTCCCTCTTCCCTATGCCCAAAAAGAAACACAGTTTAAGACCCTCCTGCAGCAAACCTCATAATAGTCCTACCTACTGGCATTTCTGCCATGAGAATGCTTGCTGCTTTCACTGATGAGGGCTTCTCTTTAGCTCCTGGGACATCCACCGTGCACCTGGGAACCTCTGGGATCCCATCTTCCCTCCCTAAACCTACAGGTAACTATCAGCCAATGGCACCTCCATTAGAGCATCCCTGCTGAGTGTAAACATTTCTGCCATCATGCACTTAAATAAAGATAAAAGTCATAGTAAATGTAGTGATGAGGAGTCAACCTGCAAGCTTTATTGAGCTCCTACTATGTGCCAGACCCTAGAGATACAGCAGGGAACATAGAAATAGATAGCAGTTTCTGTTTAAGATAGCTTATATTCCTGTGGTGATGGTGATGTAGGTGATGGTGATGACAATGATGCTGGTGATAATGAAAATGATCATGATAAAGTTGATGGTGGTGGTGATGACAATTATGATGACAGTGATGAGGATGATGACAATGCTGGGGGTGGTGGTTATGACAGGAATAGTTATGTAAGGATAGTAATAATTATGGTGGTGGTGATTGACAAAAATGATGGTAATGTTGGCACTCATGTTAATGAAGATGGTGATGATGATGGTGCTGGTGGTGGGGTTGGTGCCAATGGTGGTGATTATGACAGTAATAATATTCATGGAGACAATCACAGTGATGTTGAAAATGAAGGTGGTGTTAACAATGGCAATAGATGAGATCTGGCACTCTGGAACACCACAATCTATGCTTAGCATCTAACTACTATTATTTAATGTGCTCTATCAAAAACATCTATCATAATAGCCAAAGGAGGCATGAAAACCTTATATTTTATCATTCACTTTAAATCCTGTTGCATATGTTTAGAAATAAATCTATTGCAAGCTCTTAAATGTTCTCTGCTTTTAAACAGAGTGTTTATTTCCCACCTTCACTATAGCCGCCAGCCCTCTCTTAGTGCCATTCACACTCAACTTCACCATCACTAACCTACAGTATGAGGAGGACATGGGTCACCCTGGCTCCAGGAAGTTCAACACCACGGAGAGGGTTCTGCAGGGTCTGGTGAGAGCCCCACCTATCTCACTCTGCCCTACCCACCTTACCTATATCACCTATATGTCACCTATATGGCCAGGGAAGATCTTACCCACCTCCCCTCACCCCCAGAGATAAAAGCCCTACCCAGTCTATTGATGTCAACTCTACCAACCAGCCCCACCTACCTCACCTACCTCTGGTGAGCCAGCCCCACCTACCTCACCTCTGCCCTGCCCCTACTTCCTCAGCCCTACCACTCACCTCCCTCTGCCTCCCCCACAGCTCAAGCCCTTGTTCAACAGCACCAGTGTTGGACCTCTATACTATTGCTGCAGACTGAGCTTGCTCAGGTGAGATCTTAGAATTTCCAGCCTGGCTGCCCCAATTGTTTGTAGTCTCAATGAGTTTGAACTTCTTTTTTCCTGTCCCTTTTGTGGTTATTCCTACCAAAGATGGAATTCAGGAAACAGTGGCTCCAGGACTAACCTGTCTCCTGGTACTAGCCATGCCCCTGCCCCCACTTCCAAACTGACTTAGAGATTCCAGAGTCCATCAGCAGGACTGGACTTGTACTGTGGCCATCCCTTCAAATTCCTGGTTTTCCCCCCACCTCCCTTGACCTTAGGTGTTAAATTCTGTAACCAGGATTTCTCTCAAGACAAACATGCCTCAACCACCTGCTTTCATACCCAATTCCAGCTCTTGAGCTATCTTAAGTCTGAGCTCTCCTGTTTCCATGCTGTGAGAATGCAGGATCCACCCAGACATTTTAGGAAAACGATTGTGTCCACAATTATGCTTGCTGTCCCAGGCCAGCCAGTGCACTCAGAGAACCTAACTGTTCCTTCTCACCTCTGCATTAGACTTTTTATTTCCTCTGTCCTTCTTGTCCTTCACTCTGCCATCTCGGAAATTCTCCTTAGGCAATTCATTTATTGCCATTCTCCTCACTGCCTCTCCCCAGGCCTGAAAAGGATGGAGCAGCCACCAGATTAGACACCGTCTGCCACTATCGCCCTGACCCCAAAAGCCCTGGGCTAGACAGAGAGCAGCTGTACTGGGAGCTGAGCCAGTTGACCCACAGCATCACTGAGCTGGGCCCCTACACCCTAGACAGGAACAGTCTTTATGTCAATGGTAAGCAGCTGTGATGTGATTAGAGTCTTTTTATCCTGGCTGGGTAGCCTCTACTCTCTGGCTTGAGGTCACATGCCCTGCCTGGACATTGAGGGCTAGCACATGTCTGTATGTGGTGATTGATGTCAGAATGTCATGATTTCTTCTTTATCTTGAACTGATTTCATCCTTAGTACCTTCTTCCCTTATACATAGATTCTGACAGAGAATCTCCAAAGGCCACTGTTTCATGAAACTCCTTTCATTCCTCCTGGGTAACCTTGACTTTTGTTTGATCCCCCACCTGTCCCTTGACTCTTATCGACTCTCCTCCCTTCCTCTCTATGCAGGATTCACCCATCGGAGCCCTGTGCCCACCACCAGCAGTGAGTATTCTACTGATGTTTCAGTGGTCCCAATCCTACACCAAGTTTAGCAGGAGCTGTCCCCTATTCATAAGCCCTTATGTCCTTTTCATAAGGGAAAGAACATAGAGGGCACGAATTATTCCCTTCTCCACTGCCTCAGCTAACCAGAGTCCCAGCTGAATCCCTACATGCAAAAGTCTCCATGAATAGTCCCTCCTGCTGCCATTACTTCCATGAGAGTGCTTGCTCCTTTCACTAATGAGGGCTTCTCCTCAGCTCCTGGGACCTTCACAGTACAGCTGGAAACCTCTGGGACTCCATCATCCCGCCCTGGTCTCACAGGTAAGTACCTCAATGGCACCTCTGTTAGAGCATGGTTGGTAAGTGTAAACACCTCTGCCATTATTCACTCAAAGATGGAAATACACAGTAAATCTAGTAACGATAAGTCAACCAACCAACTTCATTGAGCACTGCCTCTGTATCAGGACCTGGATATACATCAGGGAACAAAAAAAAAGAAAAAAAAGAAAAAGCACTGCCCTCAGTGAGCTTATATTATTGTGATGATGATGGGGGGATGGTGATGATGATGGGGGTGGTGGGGGTGGTGGTGATGATGGTAAGGATACTGTGATGGTTGTGATGATGATGGTTATGGTAGTGGTAATCATGGGAAAAATGAAGGTCATGGTGATGGTGGGATGATGGTGGTGGGGGTGGGGATTACAATTGGCAATAATTATGGGTTTGTTGGCAATAACGATAATAACAATTATGATGATGATGGTTGTGTTGTTGCGGTGATGATGTTGGAGTGGTGATGATGATAGCAATGGTGATAATGATGGTAAAGATGATGATGGTTGTTTGGATGATGACAGTGTTGCTGGTTATGATGGTAATGATGATGTGATTGTAGTGATGATGTTTGTGGTGGTGTTCAGGCAGATTATGACACTGGTGATGGTGGCGTTACTGGGGATGACAATAATGATGGCAATGGTGATTACGATGACAATGATCATGATGATTATTCAGATGACAGTGATGGTGATTATGTTGGTAATGATGATATGACAATGGTGATGATGATGCTTGTGGTAGTGTTGATGGGGATTATCATGGTGGTGATGGTGGCGGTGCTGATGGTGACAATAATGGTGATGATGATGGTGATGAAGATAATGGTGATTACAGAGGTACCAGGTATTATCTGATATTTTTCAGCACTGAATATGCACCAAAAGCTGGGCTCAGAATCTAACCAGTATTATTTAATATGCCTTAAAAAATAATTTCTAACAAGAAGGGAACAGAAAACTTTCATTTTGTCATTCATTTTAAATTATGTTGCATATGATTAAAATTAAATCTATTGCAAACTCTTCAAGTCTATTGCAAAAGTGGAGAACCATGAAGAGTTTGTAGTAGACTTATTTTTAATCATATGCAACAGATTAAAAATACAAACAAATACAATAGGGTTTGTTTCCCACCTTTTGCTACAGCCACCGGCCCCCTACTGCTGCCATTTACCCTCAATTTTACCATCACTAACCTGCAGTATGAGGAAGACATGCATCGCCCTGGCTCCAGGAAGTTCAACACCACGGAGAGGGTCCTTCAGGGTCTGGTGAGAGCCCTGCCCACCTTACTCTGTCCTGCCCACCTTACCTGATCCCAACAATGTCACCCATGTCAGGGCCATGGAAGAGAATCTCATCCACCTCCCCCAGAGACACAAGCCCTGCCCACTGGTGCCAGCTGCACCTGCCACACTTGTGCCCCACCACTATGCCCCCAGCCCTCCTAGTCACCTCCGTCTCCCTCTTCCACAGCTCAGGCCCTTGTTCAAGAACACCAGTGTCGGCCTTCTATACTCTGGCTGCAGACTGGCCTTACTCAGGTGAGACCTTAGAAGAGGCAACCTGGCTGCCCTAGTTGTTCCCAGTATCAAAGAGTTTGGATTGATTTTTTTTTTCTTGCCATCCTTGTGAATGTCCTCACAACAGATAGAATTCAGGAGGCAGTGGCCTCAAAACTAATCTATCTCCTGATACCATCAGCACCACTCCCAATCAAGTGAGAGATTCTGCAGAGACCATCAGCAGAACTAGGCTTCACCCTGGGCCTCCCTCTGATTCCCTCCTTTCCACTCACTTCCCTTTCCTCCAGTTGTTAAATTCTGTGCTCAGGATTTCTCTTAAGACAAACATGCCTCATCCATTTGCTTTCATCCCCAAGTCCAGCTCTTCATCCGTCTCATGTCTGAGTACCATATATAGTCATAGGCGTCATTTTGATTTGAGCAGGGGTTTATTTAGGATAGGTAAAAGGAGGTGTGCTATGTAGTCAGGATGGGATACTGGTAGCTGGCAAAGGTGAGCTTTTTTCTTGTCTCCATGCCATGAGAATGCAGGCTTCACCTTGCAATTTTATGAAAGTTCTTGCATCTATGACACGGCTCACAGTCCTGGACTGGCTGGCAGCCGGGACATTCAGAGAATCTAAATGTGACTTCTTACCTCTTTCCCATGCTTCTCATTCCCTCTGACCCCTTCCTGTCTGGCCCCAAGAAATCTCAGAACTCCTCCTGAGGCAATTTTTAAATTGTTATTCGCTTCATCTACCCTCCCCAGGCCTGAGAAGGATGGGGCAGCTACCAGAGTGGATGCTGTCTGCAGCCATCGTCCTGACCCCAAAAACCCTGAGCTGGACAGAGAGCGGCTGTACTGGGAGCTGAGCCAGCTGACTCAGAGCATCACTGAGCTGGGCCCCTACACCCTGGACAAGAGCAGTCTCTACGTCAATGGTGAGCAACTTGGATGTGGCTGGAGTCTCTTCCTCCTTGCTGGGCAGCCTCCACTCTCTGGCCTGAGGTCACACTCCCTGCCTGGCTACTGAAGGCTCAGTCATGTTGTCTGTATGTGGTGGATAAGGTCAAAACTTCATGGTTTCTTCTTCATCTCAAACTGAGTTTACCCTCAGGACCTGTTTTCTAAATCTGAGGGTGCTAATAGAGAATCTTCAATGGCCTGTGTTCTGGGAAACTCCTTCCATTGCACCAGAGTACTCCAGCGTTCCCTAAACACTTACCCACTCTTCTCCCTTCATCTCAATGCAGGTTTCACCCATCGGAGTTCCCTGATGACCACCAGAAGTGAGTATTAATGGATGTCCCAGTACTCCTGATCCTATGCCATACAGGGCAGGAGCTTCTCTCTCCTTCTGTGCCTCTATATCCTCTTCATGAGGGAAGGAATGGAGAGAGCCCAAGTTATTCCCTTTTCCATGTGGCCCAGCTCCAGATGGAGATCCCACTCAAGCCCCACATGCAGCAAGGCCTGTAAATATCCCTACCTGCTGGTATTTCTGCCCTGAGAGTGTTTGCTACTTTCAGTAATACAGCAAACCTTCTCCTCAGCTCCTGAGACCTCCACAGTGCATCTGAGAACCTCTAGAACTCCAGCCTCCCTGTCTGGACCCACGGGTGAGCACTATTCAGTAGCATCTCTATTACAGCATGCCTGAGGAGTGTCAACATCTCTGCCATTTTCACTCAAATAAAGATAAAAAGTCCTAGTGAATCTAGTGATGAGAAGTCAACCAACAAATTTTATTGAGCACCTGGCTTCTTCAGGGCCCTAGGGATAAGGCAGAGAACACAAAAGAAATAAAAATCTCTGACCTCAGGAAGGTTATATTATCATGATGATGATGATGATGATGATGATGATGAAGATGGGGTGGTGGTGATGATGGTGGTGCACATGACAATAATGATGGTGTTGCTGATGATGTTGGTGATGCTGATGATGGTGATGATGATGGTGGTGGTGGTGATTTTGATGGTGATGATGATAGTGGTCGTGATTATGGGAAGGATGATAGTGGTGGTGGTGACATCATAGTTCTCATGGTAATTGACAATGTGATCGTGATGTTGACAATGAGGATAATGATGATGGTGATGATGATGGTGGCGGTGGTGGTGTTAATGGTGGTTTTGATGGTAAGAATGATATGACGATGGTGTTAGTGACCATGTGCTAGTGGTGATTGTATGGATGATGGTGGTTGTGGTGGTGGTGTGATGATGATGATGGGGTGGGGATGATAGGGATTATGATGGTCACGGTTTTAGTGCTGATGCTCGTGGTGATGACAATAATAATGGTGATGGTCACAGTGTTGCTGATGATCATGGTGTTGACAAAGGTAGTAGATAATGTCTAGTGGTATGGAATATTGAATATGTACCAGGAGCTGTGCTCAGCATCTAGCTCCTATTATTTAGCATGTTCTATGAAAACTATCATTATAGTCAAGGGATGTATGAAAACCTTTTATCACTTTAAATCCTGTTACATATGTTTAGAAATAATTCTATCACAAATTCTTCAATGTTAGTCCACTTTTGAACACAGCGTTTATTTTCCACCTTCACTATAGCCGCCAGCCCTTTCCTGGTGCTATTCACAATTAACTTCACCATCACTAACCTGCGGTATGAGGAGAACATGCATCACCCTGGCTCTAGAAAGTTTAACACCACAGACAGAGTCCTTCAGGGTCTGGTATGAGCCCCACCTACCTCATTCTATCCCACTCACCTTGTTTAGTACTGTCCACCTCACCTATGGAAGGTGGGAAGGCATGGAAGATCTCACCCCATTTTGCCCCCAGATATGCATGCCCCAACCACTGATGCCAGCCATGCCCACCTCCCTTCTACCATACCCCTATGACTTCAGTCCTCCCTCTCTCCCCCACAGCTCAGGCCTCTGTTCAAGAACACTAGTGTTGGCCCTCTGTACTCTGGCTGCAGACTGACCTTGCTCAGGTGAGAACTAAGAACAGCCAGTCTGACTGTTCTTAGAAGTTTGACCTGCTTCCTTTCTGCACTCCCTGGAGATGTCCACAGCACAGGTGGAATCTAGGGGGCAGTGGCTCCAAGACCAATGTGCTTCCTGGTCTTACCACCTCTCCCCTCATCTGAGAGATTCTACAGAGCCTATCAGCAGGACTGGGCTTCTACCATGATCATCCCTCTGAATTCCCTCCTTTCCCCTACCTGCCTTTCCACCAGTTGTTAAATTCTCTTCCCAAAATTTCTCCCAAGAAAAGCACGCCTCATCCACTTGTTTTCATCCCCAATCCCAGCTCTTCACCTGTCTCAAGTATGAGTTCTCCTGATCCCATGCTACAAGAATGCAGTTTCCACTTTGCAATTTTATAAAAATCTTTGCATCCATGATTCTGCTCTTAGTCGCAGGCTGGCTGAGAGTCAGTGCGCTCAGAGAATGGAAATGTGGCTTCTCCCTTCTGTATCAGCCTTCTCATTTCTTCTGGACCCTCCCTGTCTTGCCTCCTGGGATCTCAGGACCCCTCCCTTGGCAATCCATGTACTGTCTTTCCCCAATCTTGCCCTCCCCAGGCCTGAGAAGAATGGTGCAGCCACTGGAGTGGATGCCATCTGCACCTACCGCTCTGACCCTAAAAACCCCGGGCTGGACAGAGAGCAGTTATACTGGGAGCTGAGCCAGCTGACCAAGAGCATCACTGAGCTGGGCCCCTACACCCTGGGCAGGAACAGTCTCTATGTCAATGGTGAGTCGCTTTGGTGTGGCTGGAGTCTCTTCCTCCTTGCTGAGAAGCATCTACTCTCTGCCTTAAGGTCACACTCCCTGCCTGGCTATTGAATACTCAGCCATGTTGTCTGTATGTGATTCCAACCATGAAGGTTGGAACTTCATGGTTTCTTTTTCATCTTGGACTGAGTTCATCCTCAGGATCCACTTTCTAGATCTGAGGGTGCTGATAAAAAATCTTCAATGACTCATGTTCTAGGAAATTCCTTCCATGGCACCAGAGTACTCTGACCCCTATATAGTTTCCCACTACTCCCTTAATCCTTACCCACTCTCCTCCCTCCCTTTCTACACAGGCTTCACACAGCAGAGATCCGTGCCCAGCACCAGCAGTGAGTATTCCACTGATGTTCCAGTGCTCCTGTTCCTACACCATGCAGGGCAAGAGCTGACCCCTTCTCACCTGCCCCTATGTCCTCTATGAGCACAGGAGCTGGGACAGCACAAGTTACTCTCTTTCCCTTCTGGCCCAAGTCTCTTCAGAGAGAGACCCCGCTCAAGCCCCACATGCAGCAAGGTCCATACATACTCTGATCTGCTGGCATTTCTGCCATGGGAGTATTTGATGCTTTCACTAATGAGGTCCTCTCCTCAGCTCCTGGGACCTCCTCAGTGGACCTGGGAACATCTGAGACTCCAGCTTCTCAATCTGGCCCCTCGGGTAAGTACAAATCAGTCGCATCTCTGTTAGAGCATGCTTGATGAGTGTCAACATCTCAGCCATTTTTGCTTAAATAAAGATTTAAAAATCCTAGCGACTCTACTGATGAGGAGTCATCTAACAAACTTAATTGAGTGCCTAGTTTCTGCAGGGCTCTAGGGATAATGCAGGGAACACAAAAGAGATAAAAAATCTCGCTGCAAGAAAGCTTATTTTATTGTGAGGGTGATGGGGGTTGTTGGTGATGAGATTACTGGAGATGATGACAATATGCTAGTGATGATGATGGTGATAAGGATGATAATTATGAAGATGGTGATGGGGATGATGATTATGGAGGGGATGATGATGTTGGAGGGGATGATGATGTTGGAGGG